GGATGATGCATGAGTGGTCATTGTACAAAGATTGTTTCACTCATAAATTTTATTAGAAATGCACTTACACTGAGAAAAGATTTCACAATGGTCAAATCAGTGCACAATACTACCTAATTTTTATACACTGACAAAAATGTCTTGTCAGGGCTACATCATTGTAAAAGACACTTTACAGCATTCTTGTAGCATTAGAAATAATCAAAAGAAGAGTCAAGGTTAAAACAAACACCAGTTTTGGTCCAGTAATACTGATTGCTTTTTTTTTTTTTTATTCATTTGATATAGGTACTTCTTATAAATGATTATGAATGAACATTTGGTTAAAATGACTTCAAATAAAAACACAGATATATCACTACACTCGGGAGGGATACATTCTATAGTGGCCGCTGACCACGCTTTAAAAAACGCTACAGGTAAACCAACATAGATCGGAAGGCTGCAAGCAAAACTATTATATTAATGGAAGCCTTTTCAAATATATCATATACATCGGAGGGATAGTTTACAGAGGTGCAATCCGTTAAAACATTTTAAAGTAGGTAAAACAACTTCCGAGGGGTTAGTGTGCTTATTTTTAATATACCACCTTCATAAAGGTAATTAATGTTCCACATTAGCATATTAAAAGTTCCAATCCAGCCACAGCTTAAATCACAAAGAGGTCATTCTTCAATAGTTCACAGTAGTCATTTCCATTAAAATTGTCTCTATACTAAACTTGAAAAGGTAAGTCTGGTGTCACAATCTTAAAAAGGCAGCTAGCCATGCATTAGCGTCACTGTTTCTACGTGCTCACAACAGAAACATGAGTAATCAGAGAGAAATACCTTTTAAGTACATCAAGAAAAAAATACAATGTTAACAAAGATAAGAAGCACTTTTTTTTTTTTATTCCTACTCTTACAAATTTAGAAATTGCACCTTAGATTGATGAGAACATGAACCAGGGCCTGTCGTGACATGGTCCCGGACCTCCAGACAGGATTTCCATATTACAAGAAGAGTCATCATGGTACCATCTGTCTAGTGTTCATAATGTACAGTGGTCCCTTTGAAGGTTACCTGTAGTTAAACTAGTTACCGAAATCAAAACTAAAAAGTATAAAAAGCTATTTTTCTTCTCAAAACATAAGAAATAATGCAAAAGGTGTTATGTATTAACACATGGGGAGTGGTTAAAAATCAAAGACATCTCTGCATGTGACAATGTTAGTATCTTCAATCTTACGCAATTATTAAGTGAGTTTGAGAAACTGAAAAAAGGAAAAGGCTGGATAGGAGCTTGTAGAAGAGATCTGATCACACCAATTTAACAAATTAGGAAACCAGGTGCTCAACAACAAAGGATTGTGTTCAGGTGATTCATAAGTCACCCTACATATCATTGATGAGAAGCACTTCTGTATTTTATTTTTCAAAAGGTTGGATGGTTGGATGGCCCTTAGTTAAACACCAATGCATCTGAATGGCAGAAAGGACTGGAAGGGCTTATTTATGTGTATGCGTTGAGTCGCTCTTTGGAGCGAGTAGAGTGGATGTCATGAAGCTCTTGCTCCTCCTTGGACTTGATGTCCTCATATTTCTGCATCCGGCAGGCATCTTTCACGTAAGCCCAGTTGGCAGACAGAACCATAAGGTAGTGGACCTAATCAAAGACAGAAATAATTTATACTGGAAGGCTGTTCAGTGTCTTCAACGCACCTTGCTACCAGGGAAGAAATATTCAAGTTACATACTTATATAGAATATGTTTGCTCATAAAACAGAAGCAAAATTTCTGTGGTGACAGAATCAATAATTATATTATCCCTGCTCCTGTGTCCAACTGTATGACAGTATTTTCTCAGCTCCCTTTTTTTCAGTATCTCTTTTTTTTTTTTTTTTCAATTCTGGAGTATCCAAGGTTGATTCTTAATCTTTCTGTGATATTTCCTGTCCATTCTGTCCTCATTTACCCAAACAGAAAGATTATACATTTCATGTTCGTGTACCTACGTTTTCCAATCCGTAACAGAAAATAGTCACTTACACAGTTTGAGTCTAGACAACTTTGAATTAATGGGAGGATATATTATTGCCTGCTATGCAACAGAAAAAGGGACCATGGAACCCCCAAGATAAACCTGTGGATTGAATTATCAAGTTAACTTTCCATATGCTGAATTTTGTAGTTTCCCTTAGACTGTATACTACAAGAGAGCAAGCATTGGGTCCCATGGATTTTGTATGCTTTCATTCACAACAGAGCGCCATGTTCTAAAAGAAACTCCTGTCTCGAGTAATGAAGTTACTCAAGTAATGAAGGTCCTGATTTGACCTGAATGGACTCAGCTAGGAGATTACCTGTTTGTTTTTCCTTCTTTCCCTCACTCTTGGGCCATAGGGGAGGGCAGGCAGTTTTCCAAATGATGGATTTCAATGGATGAATATGAAAGAGAAACTGAGTTGCTCATGCTTTACTTGATCTAAATTTTAAAGGGTAGGCAATATTTTACCCATAGTTTAGTAAAATGGAACACTAAAATTTTGATTAGCCAGGAGTACGCCGAAAGACAGCAGGTAGGTTGGTTTTAGCAAAGTGCAGACATAAAAAATACAAAGTCAGTTCTAAATGGGCACTATTGCAGTAGGTTAAGGTAGTCAATAGGCAATAGAAAAAAAAATGACTTTTGACACAGCAATATGGGAAAAGATGCACACCAATAAGAAGTTCCAGAATGTTCTATTTCCTCTGAAAGTTTGCATTTTGTTTAGTGGAAATTGTAAGCCACATGCAAGAAACAGCAGTGGGTTCTATCTTTTTACTCTGTGTCACTTTCATAGTGAAAAGCTTCATCACTACATACATGTAGACTGAACAGTTTCTATACATAACCAAATTCATGTGGCACTCTGCTGTTGTTGCTGTGAAAATATCAAGGGCTGTGCAGAGTGTTTAGCAAGAAGCAAGTACTTAATATATGTTTCACATGAATAAGTATATTTTTAGATGTACGAAAATTTTCCTTTTGAAGTCTGAGAAAATATGGCCCCTAAATTATTATCAAATATGTATGAGTGAAATACTCAAAAGAGCTTGAGTCATTCAGGTTCAGAAACTGACACTTTTCAGTAGGTCTTTAGACATTCCCTCTCATCTTAGGAGAACACACACTACAGGCTTGTTACTGTCCCTCGGGAGGTGAGCAGCGGTCCCTGGACCCTGGTGCAAGGCCACGTGAACCACATCTGCTAATATCTACCTAACTTTCTAACATCTCTGAAAAATAATGGAATGGATCACGAGTTAGTTTTTGTACAAATCCTCATGATCTTTGCCTTAAATCCTGGATGATGTTTTAAGTATTTTGGTAGAGAAGAATTTATCTCCATTTTCTCATCTCTAAAGTGGAAATAATGACACCGGTATACTTTGAGCCTTGCAAGAGTTCGGGATGAAGTTAATGACCGTTGCTATATTACGACTACTGAATGTATTCGTGGATTTAAGCATTTGACAGTGCTTTCAATAGAGTGAGTTTAAAGAAATATTAGCTGGTAACGGTATTATTGGTAATAGTGTTAGTACCAGGAACAGAAGCCATAATTATTGTTATAGGATGCCTGTCTCCTACAACCTAAACTATTATCAGAGCTAATAAATTGGAAATATGTACTGATGTCAATCAATAGTTAGGTGTTATGTATTTCTTAAGGAACTTATGCTTGGCATATATTTAGGTACCCAAAAGGATGCTTAGTACTTAAAACATAATATCCTAAATACTTGCAGCTTGATATAAAGTTTATATGTAACTTAATGCCTAAATTCCTGCGAAGCACAGATTCCTTAAGAAATACCTAATACCTAAATATCTATAATCATGAGATGTTTTTGATAATAGATTCATTTCAGAGTAAGCATTTTTAGGGAAATTTAAATAACACTATTCATTTAGACAGGTACTTTTCACCTACGTATGCCTAAAAGGCATGCATTTTTGCACAGAATTTTTCACACACACAGGTAGCAAATGCAAACAAATGCCCTATTACACACCTCCTTTCCAAAAGTGCTTTGGTAGACCTCTAATACATGACTGGATACTCGAATGTGCACAAGTCCCTAATAATCATCCGTCGCACAGGAATGTGTGTACGAACAGATGTTTCCTCTTATCCCACGGCCAGGCTGGGTGTCGCCTGGGACCATGAGTGTTTGGAACGTCACTGCCCAGAACATGTAATGCTTCCCCAGGGCATATTTAAGCACTGAATTTAGGCTGAGAATATAAAACCTTTGCTAACTGTTTCATTCTGATCCCTCCAATTAATTAGCCAATATGATCTTATTAAGCACCTCATATTCTGAAATAAAATTCCTATGTACAGGTTGATATACTCAATCTAAAATGTTGAACAATTAGTATGATATGAAATTAAAATGTCTGAAAACTCACTTTAGCACTGACAGTCATTTTTTGTTATTTTTAAAAATAATTTTTAGCAAAGCAGAATCAGATCTCAATACATAAGTGTTCATAAAGTCATTAAAAATAACTAGTCTGGGGCGCCTGGGTGGTGCAGTCGGTTAAGCGTCCGACTTCAGCCAGCTCACGATCTCGCGGTCCGTGAGTTCGAGCCCCGCGTCAGGCTCTGGGCTGATGGCTCGGAGCCTGGAGCCTGTTTCCGATTCTGTGTCTCCCTCTCTCTCTGTCCTTCCCCTGTTCATGCTCTGTCTCTCTCTGTCCCAAAAATAAATAAACGTTGAAAAAAAAATTAAAAAAAAAATAACTAGTCTGGAAATGGCTCATTAGCTCCTTAGCACTGATTATTCTTCGTTTTATTCTTTTTTAAAAAATATTTATTTTTGGGAAAGTGAAAGCAGCAAAAGGGCACAGAGAGGGGGACAGAGGATCCGACGCTGGCTCTGCACTGACAGTCTGACAGCAGTAAACCCGATGCAGGGCTTGATCTCACAAACCACGAGATCATGAACTGAGCTGAAGTTGGACGCTCAACCGACTGAGCCACCCAGGTGCCCCATTCCTAGTTTTATTCTTTGACAAGAGATAAAACACTCTCATTTAAAAAATATTTTCTTATTTTTACACTTATTTGTTTTTGAGAGACAGAGAGAGACAGAGCACAACTGGGGGAGGGGCAGAGAGAGAAGGATACACAGAATTCAAAGCAGGCTCCAGGCTCCGAGCTGTCAGCACAGAGCCTGACGCAGGGCTCGAACCCACACACCGTGGGATCATGACCTGAGCCGAAGTTGGATGCTCAAACGACTGAGCCACCCAGGCACCCCTAAAAAATTTTTTTAATGTTTATTTATTTTTGAGAGAGTGACAGAGTGTGAGTGAGGGAGAGGCAGAGAGAGAGAGGGGGACACAGAATCCGAAGCAGGCTCCAGGCCCTGAGCTGTCAGCACAGAGCCGACACAGGGCTCGAACTCATGAACTGTGAGATCATGATCCGAGGCGAAGTTGGACGCTTAACCAACTGAGCCACCCAGGCACCCCAAAACACTCTCGTTTTTAAAAAAGGGTTCCTTTTGCCAACACATGAGAACCTATGTTGGCACCAAATTAATTCATTTTTTGCATATCGCATTGGCTATATTTGTGAGGTTACTGGGAACCTTCTGGAGTTCTATACTACTTTATTTTTGGACTATGATTTTGTATACAAGGATGCAGAAATAAGGACTGAAGGGCTTGGCTGCAAAACTATTACCGAGGCTCCAAGTATCTGCCCACTGTTGGTATCTACTAGTCCAGTGAGCAAACCGGCCGTCACAGTGAGGTACGAAGTGTGGGCATCTGGAACACGGCAGATCTACCAAACTCTGCATGAGCCTCACTTTAAAAACTTGTGATTAATATTTCTGGACAAAATTAGATGTGAAAGAAATGACAGTAAAACTACCGAGGTCTGTGTTAAGAAGAATAAATTAATTCTTTTTTCATAAGTGACTCAATGTGGCTTTTTCATGTTCTTAAATAAGGAGGAGAAAAGGATAATGTAAGTCAAGCAATTGATTAGGGGACTTAGAATTCACACTGATAAATACCTCTATGATACAGACAGGATTTTCTTTCCTTTTTTTTTTTTTTT